AGATGAGAAGGATCCGTCAAGAAATGGCTGAGTTATCGAAAAAATTGTCATTATTGAGAAGACCATCCCTGAGGGGGGGTACAGGGATTTTTTCAAAAAAACAAAATTTTTTCTCAGAATTATTCACAACATATATAAATCGACTCAGTTTTTAACGCTGATTCCGAATCTGATATTAGTTTTGAACCAAATCGTAGCTTTCTAACAAAACATCCCATGAAAAATGTCTCAAAATGCAGAAAAACTGCATGCAAAAAGCAAATAGGCTAAATATGGCTCAGTTGATAGAAAACAGTGAATATATCTCTTCACTTTTCGCAGTACACATAACACTCGGATTTAAATCCGAGGTTTTCGCATTTATTTTTAAGTTCGAAACGATCTAACTCTATTACCTGCATATTTCTGAAATTTCACAATTAACCTTCATATGACGAGAGAGTCGATATTTCGAAGATATTGAAATAACAGTGTTAGATGAGTTTGAATTAAAAATAAATATCATCATTCGATTCAGCATGGTGAAGTATCCCCCCTATTTAGCTTTTTTATTTGATGATGCTGCACTCGAAGTCTCAATAAAAGTCTTATAACTCTCGAACGAAACAAGTTAGGAATGTCGGCCTTGACTAGATTGAAAGAGAATAGTTTTTTTCTATCGATTAATCTTATTAAAAGTCTAAATCGAACGAAAAATAGCTTAAGAATATTGTTTTCAAAAATCTCCATCAATAACTCATCCATTGCTAACTAATCATATTTCGATGTCAACGAGTTGTCTCTCTAAGAATGGTGAAAACCGTAGGTTTATTTAATGTTTTTATCAAAAGTTATTTAAAAAACAATGAAGCACATTATATTTTAAACTGTATATTACATTTATGTGCTTCCAAATATCTTTTTTTAGATGATATCTCTAATTTTCCTCTATAAAATTACATATTTCGATACATTAATCATATATAAATATGTCATAGGTATCATCAATTTACTCAAAGTTCAGAAATTTTCGATCATTCTTTATGAGAAAAGCTCCTATTTGAATAGCGATTAAATTTAGATAATCGTTTTTGATATATGTAAATTTCTACTTACAATAACATCGCCTTCTTCTATAGTAGTTCTGAATTGACTAAGTACTTTATTATCATGTTTAACTTGGCCATATTGATCCATAACCCATGCTTCACTATCATATCCTAGTGGAACTTTTGATAAATTTGTTCGTCGAGTTCCCAAACCAATACCCCATGTGCCTATAAATAACTATACAATAAAATCAGTAAGAAAAAGAAATTCTTATTCAACCTTGCGTTTGTAATTTAACTTCGAAATATGCTTTATTTTGTACGATTGGTGCATTCTAAAGAAAAACTATGTCTATGAAAATAAAATGACAAAAATAAACGAAAACTTACAGCAACGGCTGCACCAGTACCACATAAACGTCGTCCATTTTTAACAACGACTACATCTTGACCCATTCGAGAAGTATCAAGTGTTACTTCAGGTCGATGAGAAACAATAACATCGGGATAATGAGCGCCTTGCAAAAATCGCAAACAACATACACTTTTCAAACACGAAAGCATAATCTAGAAATAAGTTTATGATTGTGATTGTTTTTCGTCAATAACAGAGATTAAATATAAAATAATTAGAAAAAAAGAAAAACTCTAAAATCTAATATAACAAAAAGAAAAGTTAATGAATAATGATGAAATAGTTAGACTAGAGCTTGAATACTGCAATATGATCTAAATAATATGATCCAAAATAAAGATGACCATTGTATTCAGTAACTTGTGAAGCCGATGGAACAATTAAACCTTCAGCATCATGTAATGAACGAATAATATGACCAGTATCTTTATCAAGCTCAATAACAAGACCATGATGTGGTAAACGTTTATGTATTTTCGTCATTGAACCCGGTATGAACTAAAGAAAAATTTCAATATAGAATTTTGAATGATAAAAAAATATCGAAAAATTTTCATTATCTACTTCAACATTAATTACAGAATATGTTTCAAAGAAAAATATATCGTTCTTTGTTCTTTTTTTTTAAACTTACCGAAAGTATTACCCGTAACCGAGGCCAATTACGTAAACGATCTAAAAGACTTGGTTGATTTTCATGTCGAATAGCAGCAAATGCAATCCAATAATTTCCAGTACTTGTGAGTCGAATATTATCAGGAATACCAGGTAAATTATCAATAAATACTTCACTTTTGCCAATCTTCATATTATTACCACCAATCCAATATCGAATAATTCGAGCAAATGTTGTTTCACAAACTAATACTGATTGTTTATCAACAGAAAGTTGTATACCATTGGGAAATGATAATTGATCATCAAGAATACGTACTTTACCAGTTTCAAGATCAAAACGAATCAATCTAAATAACAATATCAATTTACAAATAAAAATGAAATCATATAAATTACCTTCCACGAGGATCAGCTCGAAGTAGAACAGACATAAATTCTTTTCGTGGATAAAACCAATCCGAATCAGTAAAAAATAGATAATGTCCATCAAGTACATCAACATCATTAATAAAACGTAATGGACGAGGACCAAATCGTTTATCATCAGCACTAATAAGTTGAGTAAGTTTTTCTACAAAAGAAAAACAAAACAATTATAGATAAATAGTTGTTGAGCTTTCCAGATTCGGCTCCACAAAAATGTAGGGACTTGCCTCCCTAAATTACTTGCATAGAAAATATTCTTGTTTGATCTTATTTACATCAATACGACTAAAACTATTCTTTTTCCTTTTATCCACAAGAAAATTAGAAAAATTCTAAAAGGATTCTTGCTGATATACTTCTGAAACTGAGTTATGACCGCTTTATTGAACTTTGAGTTCAGCTTTAGATATTTTCAGAAAAATCAAATAACGAAGAAAAGAATGGTCTCTTATGGAGATATTGTATTTTCATAGCAAAGGACCATATTTTCGATATTCAGTATCTCAACATATAAACATTCTTTTCACCTGAAACTTTGAGGTCGAAAATTTAGTAAAATGATCATAACTCAGCTCCAGAAGTTCATGAGCACAAATCCTTTTAATATTTTTCTAATCTTACCGGAAACCTCCTTGTGAGTTCAAACATCGGATAATATTTTTAATAGTTCTTTCATAAGCGAAAATTTTTAACTTATTAAGCATTGACTAATGGGAAAGTGAACAACATGAAATAACTTAATAATGACTTTTTTTCTGAGAGTAGACAATAAATAGCTAAAACCTTGATCTTTCACTTATTTATGTATACGAAAAATGCCTGATATTATTGAAGAAAAAATTCAGATTTGAACTTAGCTGGATTAACAAAAACATGAATCCATGGCTTCCTATATATAAGTTAATTACTTTTTTTTTCCTCTTTCTATTTAAAAAACAATTGATGATTTGATTAAATATTATAAAGATATTTTTTCTTAATCTTCGATTTAAATAAAATTGTCAAAGACATTTTTCAACAATATTATTTATATCTTGCAGAATATTATTCATTGTAGAATATATAACTTTTGAAAACTTACTTGTTTTTACATTGAGTTTAAATAGACCATGATATGCTTGAACAACAATAAGTTCATGATCAGAAAAACGACGAATACCTAATGGACGACCACATACATGTTCAAGATGATCTTTTCCTTGAATATAAATCTAAAATTATTTATGAAAATGAATACATTCCGACTAATTACCACAATTAAGCAGATGATCATCAACACTGAGTGATGAATAAATAATACGAGTTTTTCTTGTAATAGGATCAAGTTCAACAATTGAACCATTTTTCAGACCCGTATAAAGTAAACCTAATTAGTTAGTTAGTTTTCTTTAATTAGAATGTAAGCTTTAGCTAATTTACCATTCAATGGTTCAATTGATTCTGGTCCTTCACCAACATAAATTCGTTCACTATGAGCAAGAAAATCATTTACAAGTAAAGGTCCACCATCCATTGTTGGTAATGAAGCTGGAAAACTAATAGAAGAAAAAATTCAATAATAAAATATTTTAATTTCTACAATTTTCATTCGTACTGTTTTGTCATATGATCTTCATGAGGTAATCCAAATTGTATAAAAACTAATAGACCAATCATAATAATTGCTACTATACCTAAACATAATTGTCTAAATATAAGAAAAAAGATTTATGATAAAATAAATAATTTATATTTCTTAGATGTCATATAGCATTTAACTATCAAATAAATAGCTCTAAATAATATTTATACGTTCAAGTTTTTTTTTTTAGCATTTTCATAGTCAGTGATGTTAAATTAAACGATCGACACCTACTCATGTATCCAGCAATTAAGTCTATATTGCACAGAATGACATAGTTTGTAATTTAATTTTTAAATTAATTGCAAGAAAAAAAAAAGAAATTTACTCACGAAATTGGTATTGAAGATTGATTACGATATTGATGATCATCTCGATCAATTGTAATATTTCGATTAATATCATCGTTTGAGGATTGAACATCAGATTCATTGATTTTTTTTCGTTGACGAACACTTTCACTCATCCTATTAATATTTTTCTAATCAATAAACAAAATGATAATGTACAAAATATTATTATTGATCTAATATCTACGTGTGTTCGAAAAGAAACAAACCAATTACTGTAAGAATTCTAGCGAATCTTCATATGAGCGCTACTATCGTATGATAATAATAAACAAGCATCTTTTTTTCCTTTTTTTATAGTAGAAGGAAGGTGGTTGCTAGGAAACAAAATACGTGAATGGATATTTTTATCAATGTCTTCATATCAAGTCATTCATATATAGAAAGAACAGCTGATTAATAGAAATAATATCCGATATAATTTTTGTTTTTTTTTCTTCTTTTCTTCAATTTAAATTCATAGATGAAATATAATAATTTTCTTTTTCAGTTTTCTATAGATTTTTTAAACTGCTTAAATTGATCATGTTTAGTTGATAATTATGAAGGCTCCAATTCGAGTGAGTTGTGTTTTTTTTTAATGAATATATTTTTTAGAACTAAAGAATTTCTTTATATTTGAATATTAGGTACCATTAAATAGAAACAATAATGACGAGGAGAAGAGTAATTATGCAAATTTTAATAATACAAGAATAAGTAAGAATTATTTTTGAATATTATAATGCATTATTCTCAATAAAAAGACTCTTGATCTAAATATGATTAAATCTTATAAACAAACTTTTTTCCTTGTTTTTTTTCCTCAGACATTTACAATAAATCGAGAAGAAAATTTTATTTTATATTGTTAAAAGTGCTCGATAAAAATTACCTTCTATTTATAGAAAAAAAAACTGAAAAACTCAATCAAAAAAAAAAAGGAATACAATACATTTGAAGTTTGCAATTTGAAAGTGTAAAAGTACATCTAAATATAATGAGATTGTAAACATGTAAATAGGCATGGAATGCAAATCAACTTAGATTTTTTTCCTGCATCTTATTACTTTATTGTCTTTTATCAAAAACAAAAAGTACTCCATAGAATTTGTCGAATTAGGATTGTAATACAACGATTAAAATCTAATAGATATGTTCTAATGCGACTAAATTTAAAAATGAAGGAAATAATATTCTGTGACAAATCTCAAGATTATGAAATTAATGTTTAATCTAACCAGTGAGCCTCTCCAGATGATGCAAAGTTTTTTTTTTTAGATAAGATTTATGTGAATAAATAGAATCTATTGAGACTAGATGTCCTTGTTGCTTTCTTTTCGAGTCATGGCCATTTTATTGAGTTTGTAGGATTATATATGAAACACAACGTAATTACTGTTGTTCTATATATTATAACGAGACATTATTGATATACGGTATGTGATCGTAAATCAACAAAGCCTGTCACAACCTGTGAAGAAGAAGGACGTTGCTAAGACATCTGTCACGTTCTGTAATGTTTCCACGGTAATGTCTGTTACGTATGTGATGATGAGGATCGACATTTCTACTCCTATGCTTCAACCCTTCTTTTACAGCGTGTTTCACAAATCTGAATAAAATACCCATAATCAGAACAGAAAGCAACAACGACACGATTGATTATAGGTTTTCGCCTAATTTCAGTATACTCTACCTAATGACACAAGTCTCGTCTGCAACGTTTTATATCAGCTAACCTCTCAAAAAATCGACCTTGAACTACATATATTCGAACGAATGAAATTTTAAGGATATGTTGAAACTATAGTCGAGATGCTATGCTAAAAGTTTCAGTCCGATATTACGATCATCGAGAGAGATATTCAACAAATAAGAGTCATTTGATAACCGAAAATTTTCTGTGATTCCTTATTCAATAGATTTAATTTTCTTGCATGTGAACGTGCTTGCCGAGTGCAGTGCTTTTTTTTAAAATTATTTCTTTTGTATGCAAGAGAAAGAATAACAAGTTCAAAAGCACTTGGCTTCAAAGAAGCTCTTTCGGGACTTCTCAAATACGCAATCAGAAAAGCATAAAGGGAGATAAAGTTCAAAAAAAAAATTCTCCTTTTTCTAGAACAAAGATGATGCAAATCATCAAAAAAAATTTGGAAACAAATATGAGCCGCTAAATAAAATAAAAAAAAACCATCGTTTATGAAAGATCAGATCTCGGACTATCTTCCCAAGAATTAGTCTCAATTTCAATTTTTAAAACGAAAATTATAGGGTAGATAAATCTCGATGAGTAGAATCAAATTTTTCTTTTACAGGCATCATACATTGTTTAGGATGTCTACTTTCTTTTGACTTCATTTTATCTCATTCCATTCGGATGAAAAGATCAAAATACTGAGCGTACGTCTGCAAGCAATATTTTTCACCAAAAAAAAATCATCTAGTCGCCCCAAACGATGTCCAATATTTCCAGTTCTATCGAGCGCACTATGTTGAAGAAACAGGAACGATTCTGCATGTTGTTTTGTACAAATTGATTGCGAGAAAAACGAAAAACAAATTTTCCTATATGAATAACAGGACATTTTTTCTTCAATTAAACTAATGGAAAACTGACCGTGTTGGAAGACAATGTCCCATACCCCCTCAGTACTTTTTGGAATAATTATTAGGAGAATTTTGCGTAAAACAAATAACCGTAGCATGAACATTGGATTTAATAGAAGTACTAACTAACAACAACGAGAACTGATTTATATAGCATTTGGTAGAGGAGACTTTGAAGTTAAATTAGCGATGAAAAACATAAAATAGAAAACATTTGGAAAGGGAGAAGGAGTTCGCTTAATAATGACAAATTTGTTGATATTTCTTCAGAAAATGTTTCTTGTAATATTTTATATTTTATAAATAGCGTTCCTTGGTTTATCAAAGGAAAAAGAGAATAAACTTTTCACAGATGACCTCATTCATTATTGTTGTTGCCATTTTGAAAGTTCATACAAGAAAAACAAAATATATTTTGTTCTAGTCACCTTATTTCAAGTGCCTCAATATGAACAATTACAAATACTTATTTGTAATGGTAATTCATTAACAACATTAGCCGGTGTTGAACATATTAAACATTTATGGAAACTTGATGTTGGAAATAATCAAGTATAACGAAATTATTTCAAAATAATCTTGATTCATATTTAGTTTTTCTATTGTTAGATTCGAAGTCTTCAACATTTATCACGTTTTATAGCACTTGGTTCACTTATACTTTCAAATAATCGTTTACAATGGATTGAATTACAACATATTCGTCATATGTTTGTACTTGATTTAAGACTTGATGGAAATACTATATTAGATGCTGATTCAAATTGTTAAGAAAAACAAAAAAGAATAGACATATATTTTCTAATGTAAAAATATCTATTCTATGTATAGATCGTCAACATGTACTTGATTGTTTACCACGTATTTGGATGCTTGATGGAATTTTTGTTTCAAGTAAGTGTTATGTAGTATCGTGTACGGTACAATGTTTTTAGATCCGGATCGGAGCCGATATTAATTTCTTATACTCGGGTGCGATCCGGTTGCAGAATGTTAGTTTTATGTAAGAAATGAAATAAATATTCTTATGTTTTTTTTTGTCAATTTTTTAGCCTCTGAACGTAATCAAGTTGATGAATTTTTTACACAATCATCATTAACACAAAAACCTGTGGTAAAAAATAATAATTTGATTGAAGAATCTTAAATATGATTGTTAATATTTAGCGACATAAATTAGCACGTGATATATTTATGCCAACAAATCTAAAAGATCGTGCGATTAATGGAATATTTGGATCCAAAGTAAAATAATATCTATATTTTTTTGAAACTAGTTAAAAACAAAATTTTTTTTCTCATAGGCAACAGAATTATTTGCTAAATTTCCAATGAATTGTTTTGTAAATTCAGGTAAGAGTAATTTTTTATTAAACAGAAAACTTGATTTGTTTTTCAATATAGAACTTGATAAGAGACGAATCAAACATTTAGCTTCAACAGTTCAAGATTTATTACTTACAGAAATGAGAAATGATGAGGGAAAGTATGAAAGATAAATTAAAATTTAAAAAAAAATCTATATTGTCATATATGCAAATTTTAGAAAACATGATGAATTTCTTACGGAAAATCGTCATATACTCTATCATATGGTTGATATACGACAAAATCATGTTGAAGAATTTAATATGTTTCTTATACTACTTGTTGTAAGTGGAATAAAGATTCATATTTAAATAAAGAATTAACTTGATTGCTTTTTTTATTCACTCTACGAAGAAAGTAACTATCTAGTGATTACCAGAATCAGGACGACGACTAAGAAGGACGAACGAGAAAACAACAAAATGCTGGGGATAAAAGAAAAATTTGTCAAGATTGGATTGACTTTTTCTTCGCTCGACACACCCTAATTCGAGAGATTAGAAGCTAGAGACCATCATGAGGCCCTTTTTTTCACCCTGCCATGTCCTAATGACGATCTCTGTTAGAAGCGTATTTCTAATAACCTGAAAACCGTCACTGAATGAAAGTGATGTAAGATTAACAGTTTAATTTTCTCAACAACAGAATCTTTTACCTGCTCCAATATGCGACAGAGATAAAGCTGATCGATTTGAGATCTTCCTACTTTTTGAACCATGAAAACAGATTGTTTTGTTGTTCCTACGTCCACCATTTTAATTCTGACATTACAGCAATAAAATGAGATTACACATGGAACTACTGTTGATGTCAGCATAATACTAGTATAGATTTTATATTTTGCCAGATATCAGTCTATCTTAATCCATTCAGACCAGTAACAATACGGGGATGATTAAGCATTGTGAAATTTTTTGCTCAAGCTTTCAGTTCGGATCAGCATAAAAGCAATAAGATATTCCTTATCAGCTTCGAATTCTGCATTACATCATATATTTTGAAGAAGACCCTGAGAAAAGTCAAAGTTTAGGATAGAATAAATCATTTTGTTCAGAATTTGATGGTAATTTCAAATAGATGTAAATTTATGTACAAAAAAAAAAATAATAAAACGTTCAATAGTTTAAAAACATCGCGATGCTCGGATACTAATGAAATTCTATAACACAGTATTTCTTATAAACTGGATGCAAAAGTTAAATAAAACTACATTCAAAATCGATGTATTTGAAAGAGCTCGTTGATTTCTGTCTGAAAATGTCATTTTTTTGTTGCAAAAATTAGCAATATAAGCGACTTTAATAACGAAATTTCATGAAAAATACAGATGGTTTGTGAATGCATTGTCTTAGTTCGTAGATTTTTAATAAATATATTTGAAGTAAATGCTCATAGTTCCTAAAATAAATCAATATGCATTTAAAAGTCACAGTTCTGATAGTTACTTCTATACTACAGTTATTAAGAAAGCAACTAGTTAACTTAAAAATAGCCCATCTCTGTTTTGATCGTTTTTGGTTCTCCAAGGCAATACAATCGATCAAACTGAAATTTTTACCACATTGAAAGTACCAAAAAAAAAATAAGGAGATAATCACCACGAATCTAATTTTACCAGATTGATCTGAAAATGGTTTTTTTAGGATATATAAGATTATATCTCAGATGTAATTTTAAGGTTTTCCAAAAATCTCACTTTCTTTTTGTTTATGAAAGAAATACGTAAAGATTCGAAGAGAAAATTCAAAAATCAAAACGACGATACAGTCTTATGGGGAATTAGAATTTATCAGCAAAAATTCTTTTCCTTGAGTACATGTCTCCTTGATTTTTGTGTTTGATCTGTCGTAAACATTTCATCTTGATCGATTTTACCGTCTTTGAGAATCAGAAATGCTCAAAAAAGAGCGGGAGGAGGGGCTACCTTTAAACTCGAAAAAGAAAATATTTTATTTTATATAGACTCATATTCTCTTTGAAATTCCTGTTGATTTATTAAATAATGTTTTTGATATTACACATATAAAAACCATTGGGTATGATTTATTATATATTTAATCCATATAAATATATCTGTTGATTTAAATTAATAGAAATTTAAATATTGATCATATATTTTCATCAAGTGAAGAATTAAAATATATGATTACATCATTGATTCATGCAGGTACACGACTTGATCGAGATGAAAATCATGTAAATAAAAAAAAAAAAAAAAATATGAATTATTTTTTTCTTGAAATACAATTTTGTTTCTTACAGCCATCAGCATTTAATGATAAATTATTTAATAGTCTTTCTATTGTTATTACTAATCAATTACGACAAGTATCAACTTTAAATACAAGTCAACCGTATCCAAATGGCAGCATGTAAGTAAAAAAACAGTTAGTTGATTAAATTTCATATTTTATCCTTAGAGTTTCTGAAGCAAAATCTATGGTATGTCTTGAAGTAATGCAAATATTGATAATGTGTCCATTATTTTATACACTTATTGATAATTCAAGTACATTTAAAAAGAATTTTTCATTATGATTATTTTTATTTACATATCTTAGATGTAAATTCAATTTTAAAACAAGCTTTAGATCGATCACCAGCATATGGAAGTATTAAAGATGTTTTACAAAATTTAACTGCTGATGAAGTAAATTAATTTCTATTAATTTCTTTTTTTCTATATATATATATATTTATTTATTTAGAAATCAGCTGAAGAACAAAAAGATTTATTAAGTCCAATTCTTGGTAATATATTAAAAATGACGATGCGCACATTATCAACCAAAAAGACGAAAAAAATAAATGAACCATTACTAGCAGTTTGTTCAATATTAATAAAAGATTTACTAAAAAAAGAAAAATTCATTTAATAGGAAACGACTAAATCGGAACATGATGGTTCAAATAAACGACAACAAGAACGTATTATATCGTCACCAAAACCTTCTCAACGAGCAAATATTCATCGTATTCCTAGTAAGTCATTGTTTGTTTGATATACACTTTCATGGAAATATAAGATCATTACTTATTCGATGTGTCATTTCATTTTCTTTTCTAAAAACAAATGTACTTATTTGAATTGTCAGTGAACATTGAAGCGATGTAAGTTTTAATTTCCAGTTGTGCACTGCTTGCCTTTATAGCAACAGGGAGAGGCCAACGATCATTGAGTACGTTTTCTTAGCAATCGAGGACAATAGCGATCAGACTCCTTCCCTAGAGTTTCTTAGTAATAGAAAAAGATGCAGAATGGTACTAACAACAAAACTTAGACTATTTTCAAAGCCTTTCTCGAAATTTGGATGACTAGAATACTTTTGTAAATATTCTAAAGAATGCAATTTTAGGTTTGTGTGCAAATAAAAATGTATATGTAAGATGTTAAAGACTATGCGTCGTAATTAGAAATGAACGGAACCACACGTTTTTTATCCTGGCCTAGAGAAAACTATTGCAGAATTTAGTCGTACCACATCTAAAAAATTCTTCGGCACTCGTTTGTATGATTTACTCAGTCAACGACTAGCACTTTTTGGATCATCTCTCTTGAATTATATTTCGATTGATGATTTATATGATAATTCCGTTTAAAACCATGGAATATTTAAGTGTATTATTTAGCTTTGATTCCAGTCTCAGAAGCTTCTCTTTCACGTACTTTTGGAACTTAAATTCATTCTGAATATTTCTAGAAGTAATGCATTGATTTGTGACAGTTGTCAGATGGTCAACATAAAAAACATGAATTGATCGAGTTATAAATTTGAAAAATAATCAATATCAGTATTTTTGAGCTCATCGAAAATTATCACAATGGATGATCGGAAAGTTTTTAGTAAGGTCTTTGTTCTCTTTTCGAATATGAGCTTAGAAATTTTGTTTCAATGTTTATTTGACGGTAGTTCGATGATCTTTGAAAAGCTCAAAAAATTAGTTCGGACGGAACTTTTAGATAGAGACGTGTCTGTTTGAAAATTTTTCATGCAAACAAATTTTTTCTTTTTTTCAAAGATTATTTTACTACTTTCGAACAAAGACTGAGAAATCATTTTTAAGTTCATATTAGACGAGAGAACAAAATCATAGCTTTTGACTCGTCGAAAATACTTTCTAATGGTTCATGAGTGAACACACATCTGATCTAAAAACTTTTCCAACACTCATTAGTGCGTTAAGAACTGTTGTAAATATAAACAATGTGTACAGCAAGCTTATTTGTCAGTT